ATCAGCTGCTAATTGGAACGTCGCGTTGGCGGAGGTATCAGCGGGTTCACTTTGGCAATTCATGTCGAGAGACGTGGTTGTAGAAGTCCTTCAATCTGATGATGAGGTAAAAGACTCGAAATCCGGATCGTTGCAAAACAATCTTTTTAAAAAGGATGAAATATATACATACATATATATATCGTATATACATAGATACATATATGTATACGATACATCGATTCAGCAAACTTACTTCTTGTTCTCAAATCTCACAGGCCTAAAATAAGCGTACACTATAATCAACGAATAGCTTCATTTGCTTTGGATAGAAATATCTATTATTTAAACAATCGATACGAATACGTTGATAACATATCGATGTTTGTTGTAATAAGTAGAAAGGTTAAAAAAAACTCTACTTTATCGATGCTTCGATGCGAATAATGTAAACAATTTTTTGTTGTTGTGATTTTATCATTGTTAGAGCTGATTTTGATTCTCACAAAATCTGGCGCCAAAACCTATCCAAGCTAGTTAGACGGTCAAAAATGCTTATCTTGAAAGTACGGTTGACAATATACCGTATATTGTCAGCTTGTTATTTCAATATTGATGTTTCCCTGTACAATAAGTCTTTCTGCTTTCTCCGATTTCATCCTTGGGCGTCTTAGTTCTGTGTTCAGTATCAACTAAATTTTGACCTTCAGCGTGGGAACTTTTCAATTGTTCATGGCGTTAATTCTCGACGTCGTTCTTCATTAGCGCCCCTGGCCCTCGCCCTCTCACTTTCCCGGGACCCCGAGGGCGGATCGGGATCGTGAATAAATGAGAGCTTTCCAGGTGTTTCGGCCTGGATACGTCTCCCATTTCGATTATTCATCGCCGGAAAGGGAGCCGGATAAAATCGTTGCCCAACCTCCCCCAAGGGGCCGGCACTTATCTGATATCGGCTGATTCAACTATTCCGCAGCTCCTAATCGACAAGTAAACCTCGAACAAACGATTCATTCTTCACCACAACGCACTTAATTTTTTTTTAACCCTATCAGTACTTGCAAAAAAGTACAGAATCTCTTAATAGCTTCTTAAACGCAACAAAGAAGACTTTTGTCAACCCCCCTAAAATTATTTCTCAAAGATTGTGTGGCTAAAAATATTTAAATGCATGAGAAAATGTTCGGTTGTAAAAAAAATAAAGGATGAAAAAAAATTGGATTGTATTCATTGGGAAGGGCATTTGTTACCGAACAGATAGAGTATTGGTCAAGTTAACCTTTTCCACAAAAACAAACCCCTTTCGCATTATCCAGGACATTTTATTCCCTTGGCTTTGTATTGTCAGTTCTTTAAAAATTTACAATATGATGTTAACAAAAACCCCATATCAATTGCGAGTGACGATCAAACCCATAAAAATTAAAGTAATATGGTAATTAACCTCTACTTAAAAAATCGTAAAAAATTTATCGTTATTTAGTTATCTTTATTATTATATTTAATGATGATGTTATGGGTCGTTAACAATAGGATTGCTATACGATTGCGAATAGTTTATTCTCAATCCTGATTGGGTTTTTTTCTGACCTTGTTTTGCGGCCAAAATGTGCTTTATGCTAAATAACCCCCCCTTTTTTTCCCACATGATATTCATCGTGTGTTATTACTCTCACCAAATTTACGATCCAACTAATTCAATATTATATAAAGCATCAAAATTATGAAGAATTGACATGTTATTAAAAAAATGGATTGCGAAGATCGACTATTCATTCATAGATTTTCATCAATCATAGATAGGATGAAGCATATATATGTTATCACATCGATATTTTATCAATAGACATCGACTTTAAGACACATTGATATTATAATCAGAATCGATATTGTGTTAACGAACATGAATATTTTAGAGATTATAAATGATGGGGTGAGTGTAGAGTTCAATCCTTTTTCAAAAAGATGGTTCCTACTCACATTAAGTTATATTTATATTCCACATTATATATATACTTAATGAGAGTAGGAACCATCTTTTTGAAAAAGGAATGAATATTTTATTCGGAGATCGTGAGATGCGGTCTGGCGTGACGTAGGTTTTAGAAAAATTATTATATTATATATATTAATATATTTATAAATAATAATATAAAATATATTAATATATTTATCGTGCCAACGTTTCGATCTTTATTGAGATCATCTTCATGTCATCATCATCTTTCGATATTTTATACGCAAGCATCGCTGTATCAAAGAAAATTCTGGATAAATCATCGATATTGTGCAGTATAGATATTTTATCACTGAAACCAATTGCTATAAATTTCGATCTGTTGCTGTAGAATCTATATTTTATCAATTAGGATTCCAGTTCAATCTATTATCAACCGAAATCATTGGTTGGAAGTGTCGATATATGATCGGCAAACGTCAATTATTGAAGTATCGATATTATATCACAGAAAATAAATGGCTTGGAACATCGACCTTTTCCAGCGTATGCATATTTTATTCATTACGATCGATAATTTAATGCCTAAATATTTAGCGAAATCATCCGATCTTTTGCAGAAGTATCGATATTTTATCAATTAGAATCGACGATTTACAGCTTCAATATTTATCGACAGTTTTCGATCTGTGGCAGCAATATCGATATTTTATCAATTAGAATCGATGATTTCAAGCCTCAATATTTGATAAAAAACGTCGATGATTGAGGTCGATATTTATTTAAAGAAAACCAATAGTTTGAAACATGAACTTTTGCAGCAATATCGATATTTTATAATTAGAATCGATGGTATACAGCCTCAATATTTGTCGACAACTTTCGATCTTTTGCAGCAGTATCGATATTTTGTAATTAGAATCGATGATATACATCCTCAATATTTGCCGACAACTTTCGATCTTTTACAGCACTATCGATATTTTTCAATTATAATCGATGATATACAGCGTCAAAATTTATCAACAACTTTCGTTCTATTGCAACACTATCGATATTTTATCAATGAGAATCAATGATTCCAAGCCTCAATACGTGATAAAAAACGTCGATGTTTGAGGTCGATATTTGTTCAAAGAAAACCAATAGTTTGAAACATGATCTTTTGTAGCAATATCGATATTTTATAATTAGAATCGATGGTATACAGCTTCCATATTTAACGACAACTTTCTATCTTTTGTAACAGTATCGATATTTTATCAATTAGAATCGACGATTTACAGCTCCAATATTTATCGACAGCTTTCGATCTTTTGCAGTAGTATCGATATTTTATCAATTAGAATCGATGATTTACAGCCTCAGCATTTATCGACCGCTTTCGATATTTTGCAGCAGTATCGATATTGTATAATTAGAATCGATGATTTCAAGCCTCAATATTTGATCAAAAACGTCAATGTTTGAGGTCGATATTTGTTCATAGAAAACCGATAGTTTGAAACATGATCTATTGCAGCAATATCGATATTTTATAACAAGAATCGATGGTATACAGCCTCAATATTTGACGAAAACTTTCGATCTTTTGCAGTAGTATCGATATTTTATCAACTAGAATAGATGATTTACAGCCTCAGAATTTATCGATAGTTTTCGATATTTTGCAGCAGTATCGATATTTTATCAATTAGAATCGATGATTTACAGCCTAATATTTGACGACAACTTTCGTTCTTTTGTAACAGTATCGATATTTTATCATTAGAATCGATGATTTACAACAACACTATTTGACGACAACTTTCGATATTTTGCAGCAGTATCGATATTTTATAATTAGAATCGATGATTTACAGCCTCAGAATTTGTCAACAGCTTTCGATATTTCGCAGCAGTATCGATATTTTATAATTAGAATCGATAATTTCAAGCCCCAATATGTGATAAAAAACGTCGATGTTTGAGGTCGATATTTGTTAAATGACCAACAGTTTGATACATGATCCAGCAATATCGATATTATATCAATTATAATCGGTGATTAACGCCTCGATATTTGTGGACAACATTCGAACTTTTGCAGCAGTATCGGCATTTTATCAATTATAATCCAAGATTTAAATCTTCAATATTTTATCAATAAACATTGTTCTTTTGAAGTACCGATATTTTCCAGCCAAACATTATTACCATCATTAATTACGTTCTATAATAAATCATTTATTCGCTTGGTGAATATTATTTTAATGTGGGTGATGAGGCTTAAAAAAATACAACTTTGGTTGTTATCTTAGTAAAATTAAATTTTGAGTGTCTTCTGTGCCCGTTCCAACCCACTGTTTTCACAGTGATTGAAGATGAAATATGTAAAAAAATATATTATTTATCTATTTTAATTTGTTGGATATTTTTATCGGAGGGAAGAAATCAAGTGTTTTTTTTTGAAGTGCGAAAAGACACCGCGTTTAAGGGTGAACCGTCGTATGAAAATATTTAGAGATGGGGAGTGGATTGAGATGGAAGAAGGGTCGGGTCGCGTGTTTATGCGTATATACACACAAATAAAAAAACAAGACCAGCCTGAGAAATGAGGAAAAATCTCTTTTTAAGATAAAAGGGATTTCGCCGAGGCGTTTGTGCCTCGAGTGTAAGCTCCCCAGCCCCCTTTGCCAAATAATAAACGTCCTCCTTCTGAAATATTCACCAAAGGGTGAACCAGACTGGCTCGTTTTTCCAACGGGTTGCTCACGAGTTTTGACTCGTAGAAATTAAAAGGACTAAACTCGTCGATCCGGCTTGGCAAGACTGTCGTCTTGGGCAAATGTTGACCTCAGCCGGACCTGTTTGCCAGCAAACAAGCTTGACCCCTTCTAAATCACATAGCCACCCCAATTCCACGATACACATGCATTCCGTTTTAATCCTGAAACGAGCTTTCTCCTTTGAAAAAGCACTACATTCTTCTATAAAGGCCGAGCGTCAAAGATGATATATCAAATAACATATGCAAAAATTATTCTGTAAATAAAAAATCCCCAAAACTGATCATTAATTGACTTACTTTCATAGACGGTGAGCGTTGCTTCTGCGGACACTGCGTCTCCTACGCCGTTTTCGGCGACACACTCGTACGTCGCATCATCTCTGATGGGCCGGACGGGCTCAATGCGAAGCATAGAACCGTTCGGGTATTCTTCAACGGCGTAGCGCGACTGCGTCGACGAGACCTGGAAGAAAAGAGAGAAGTTTCTTTAATCCAGTATCATCAACAACCTTGATGAACAATACGGCCAATGGGAGGACCATATTATGAAGAGGGATTTTGTCTGGTTATTAGGTTCACATATAGAAAAAATAAATGAAAGTTGAAAAATCAGCGAGGGTTCTAGGGGCGTGGGATTTCTCAAAACAAACCGAATGTAATACGTAATTCCACTATTTTTCGTGGTCCGCTTGACCTATTAATATCATTCAATTAGTTAAGGTTAAGTAGAGATAAAAAAGTCAGTGTCACGAGCGAGGTTCGAACCCACGACCTTCAGCTTGATACGCCTCTGCTCTACCACTTGAGCTATCGTGACCTCGATCCACTCGGACACCAACTTCCCATCTCAACCCCACCTTTTGGATTTTCACTCCTTTTTGCCATTTTTCAAAACTTAAAACCTTAATTAATTGATTGATATTAATTGGTCAAGCGGATCACGAAAAATAGTGAATTTAACGAATTGAAATTAAGTATACTTCACTAAACCTCTCCGTGGCCATTCAGAATCAAATAGATTACACGACATTTGAAAAATGGCAAAAAGGAGGGAAAATTCAAAAGGTGCGGTTGAGATGTGAAGTAAGTGCCCGGGGGGATCGAAGTCACGATAGCTCAAGTTGTAGAGTAGGCGTATCAAGCGGAAGGTCGTGGGTTCGAATCCCGCTCGTGACACTGACTTTTTTATCTCAACTTAAAACCATAATTAATTGAGTAACACGTAATAGTCATCTGTCCCTCGTGGTACCTCATAAGATTTTATAAGACATTTTGTCATTGAAAATGTATGTAGTGTCCCGTTTTTAGAGGTACTTTTCAAGTAAAGTATCTTAGGAAATAACCATTTGGACAAACAACTTCACAGATCAGACAACCAAGCAGGTGTAAAAGCATATAAGTGCATATAAAGATCACCTCCAAAAGAGTCGGTGAATGCATCCAAAATCTCCTAAGACTGAGAAAGAATGTGGCTATCCAGGTAATACAAAAAAAGGGTCAAACGGGCAATAGAAAAAAGCCGTAAGACTAATAACTTAACAGCACCTGATGGTGATCTCGCCAGGTTAGGCAATACCCAAGCCATAATAGATTCGTGTATTTCAAAGCTACTTGCGGCGATTAATGTTCCATTTAGTAAGGAAATACGACGAAGTTGTACAAAAGTGTTCTGAGTAATGCAAAAGCAGAAAAACTGTCCAGAGGAGTATCTGCAATCCATATACTAACAGAATCAATTAGACTTGTCCAACTCAGAATGGATGAGAAGTGGAAGAATTTCAGAGGGCCAGACATAATAAATAAACTCATAATTGAAGAATCATCAGCAAAACTGGCCAACACCTCGCTGTTGAAGAAACTGCCTTATTATCTTTGTATGCTAAGCAATCGCGACCTATGACCGCTTAACCAAGGGTACCAATTAAAACTTCATTATTTATGTGAATTTTGCATTCTATTTTTCACTGCATTCTCCTGCTAAGGAGTAAGGAGAGTAACTCGAGGCGACTGGTAACCGTAGCGGTATGTCGGGAATGGTTCCGCATGAAAACTGCCATTGGGATCAAGAGGACTGTGTGGATAATAAAGTTGGATACGAAACGGAACGAATCATTTTTTACCAGATTGTTTAGAGGACGGAACGCTTGCATAAGCGCAAAATAGCGGATGACATTGGTTGCTGGGGTATTCAATGAGGATGAAGTTTATTTACAGAGATTTAATTTCATTGGGTCTGATCCTCCACTTCGCGAAACATTCTTCCAAACAGGGCAGGAGGTTTTGAACGTTCCTGAAGGCGACTTGAGATGGTTTAGTGAAAGGTTGGCGGTTTCGCCTGCATATGTGACGATATTTTATCCAATGGAGAGGAATGACTGCAGAGTAAACAGGAACACCCAACACTCATTCCGTATCCATAGTAGATGAAGGAGAAGGATTTCAGATTCGTAATTGCAGTTTTTTTTTGATACCAGGGACTGGAGGAGTTCCCTCCTGAGCACTGCAGGTACAGCTTATTGTACTTTATCCATGACTCCATATTTTGGGGGAGGGCTCGCAACACAAAAGTGAACTTGAGCCCCGTTGTACCGGTGTTCTTCCATCGAAGAAACTCATTTTTGAAGGGGGTTGGGACCAAATTCAGGGTCGCCGAGATCCGATCCCGCCCCTTCTATTGATGAGTGCCGTGTCAATTTCTTTCAAATGCGGCACCGGTCCCCTTAGGCGTCAGAAAAAGTCCAGAGGCGACGGTGGGGATCGAACCCACGACCGCGGGATCTACTAGCCGAGAGTCTGACGCCTTAACCACTCGGCTACCGCGGCCACCCGTATTTGAGCGTGATATCGGACAGATTTAGTATGAATTAACACATGATTAGGAGTACCCAAGAGACATTCTGCCTTCTCAAGGTAAACTCGTCAAATGCTAGATCATTTCCAACATTGGGTCTTAATACAACACGTTTGGTTTGCATATTTTGCTTTCAGACTGTCAACGTCTTTTATGACAGTGTTTTAACTTGATAGCACACATACTTTATAATTTTTCTTGGTAAATCCTTGTTCTTACATAGATGACTCATGATTCAAGTATGATCCTCTAATTAGAAAAAAGGTATCTGTTTTTACTAGTATAGCAATAAAAGAGCAGGTCTAGGCTTTTAAAGGTACGTAACTCCCATTATCGACGAACGATTTAACACAGCATTCAGGGCTTTAGAAAGGAATCTTTGGTAATCTAAAGTTGTATAGAAGTAAGAAAAAGCCAAGCTTCATAAGACTGGATGTTTTTACCTGGTTTGACTCAAATCCCAAGTTATTTGGCGAAATTTTCGTGACCTACCAATACAGTTTACTAGTCTTTCATCCATCTATTGGTTAACCAAGATATTTACTATATAAATATAAAATGTTTAAAAGAGGATGATACCTTTTTTCCATTTTTCTTCCAGAAGATGAGCGGCTGCGGGTCGCCTTTGGCCTCGCAGTAGAACGCCGCGATTCCACCTGCTCGGACCTGCTGGTTCTTCGGTCTTTCCGTTATCTTCGGCGGATCTGAAAAACACGAAATATCCATTTAAAAAATACTGTTTTTGTTTTTGGATGAGCCAGAACCTTCGTCGTTTTTGTCGGAATCTTATGTGAGCTTTAAGAGAAAAATAAAAACATAAAATCATAAGCTGGTTAAGTATTTTGAGCGTGATTTCCACGCATGGTTTTTAAATTGGACCGGAGACCTAGAGCGAGGACTATGGGGTCTAAATCGGATCCATAATAAATTTTTTCTCGTGCCGACATCGATTTGCCTTATTCATTTTAATACAGGATTCGGCCTCCCTGTCTCAACGGTTAATCTGGTCACGCGGCAAGGATATATGGCCGTCGAGGCTAGGTAGGCCCCGGGGAACTGCGAGTGGCACCCGCGGGATTCACAGCACCCCCCTCAAACACACACAAAAAATCCCCTAGCTTAACATTTTACCGGGAAAAAAAGGTTCTGGCAGAGATGCCTCAATGAATACTTACGTGTGAGGTATCGGATAAACGCGTCTGTGTTCGGTATGTAAACGGTAAAGTTGGAGTCTGTAAAACGGTAAAAAAAGGTTTGTTTTGGTTGCGGCGAACTGAGGATTATCTGGCGTTTTATGGACAATATTACAGAGTTTCTGCCTCAAGTTATGATAATTTAAAAAATGCTATTTTCTCATTTTAACTTAACAAAAGCGATTGTTAATCAAAATAGAAATCATAACGTTAAAACTAAATATTTCACCTTTTACGCTAACTGCTTTTTCTAACGTGTTAAATTTTCACATTTTTAAACTTAATCATAATGAATATCAAAGTACAGAGAACGATTTAAGCTCTGAAACAGAAAAAGTGCTAATGGATAAACATACCGCCCACCAAATGTTCAAAAACATTTTTGAAAATCCATTAAAACTAAGGCGAGGGGCCGCGGTAGCCGAGTGGTTAAGGCGTCAGACTCTCGGCTATTAGATCCCGCGGTCGTGGGTTCGATCCCCACCGTCGCCTCTGGACTTTTTCTGACGCCTAAGGGGACCGGTGGCCGCAATTGAAAGAAATTGACACGGCACTCATCAATGGAAGGGGCGGGAACGGATCTCAGCGACCCTGAATTTTGGTCCCAACCCCCCTCAAAAATGAGTTTCTTCGATGGAAGAACACCGGTACAACGGGGGCTCAAGTTCACATTTGTGTTGCGAGCCCTCCCCCAAAATATGGAGCCGGGGATAAAGTACAATAAGCTGTACAGCTCAGCTGCAGTACTCAGGAGGGAACTCCTCCAGTCCCTGGTATCCATTAAAAAAAAAAAAAAAAAAAAAAAAAAGGCAATTTTTCATGTCAAATGATTCGTAGTTTAACGTGTTTTCATGTAAAAATCAAATTCTTCCTTAAAGCATGATTTTTTGTTGTTCGTTCATACGCGATTCAATCTGGCGAATTTCTATAAAACGATGTTATTACATTGAAAGGTTTTTGGATAAAAAATCGGTTAATTAAAACTCCAATGGTTTTGATAAAATATCGGTGCTATAATATATCGATATTATCTGATTAAATATCGATAGTATCGATAATTTGGTGTTATTATATATAAAATATTCTTTCAAGGTTTTGCATTTTTAATAAATAAATAAATGAATTATATAAAAAATGTATTTATTAAAAAACTAAAATTATATTTAAAATTAAAAAAATAAGAGATGGTAAAAAAGAACCAAAATGTTGTATGTATGTTGATAAACGAAATTAATGTTTAAATATTGGCTGAGAATCTGAAGTTGTCAAAATAAGTTTATTGTTGATTTTCACTTACAAATCAGAGGAATTATAAAAAGAATATACATCCCCCATCGCACCAAACATATTGTGAATAAGTAGCTGGTCAATGCCCTTTACATCTTCTATGTTTTTGGATAAAATATCGATTCCACAATATATCGATGTCATTTGACTAAATATCGATAAGTCAAATCGCCGATGTTTGTACAAATAAAATATTGGTGCTTCCGTACAATGAAGGCATTGGGTAAAAAATCGACACTCTAGAACGTTGATATTTTTTCGTATCGATTTTAGAACATATCGATGTTATTCGATTAAATATCGAATGTTCAAAGGTGTTATGTTTTAGGTGATAAACTATCATAGCAAATGATTACTTGGAGATCGCGAGATGCGGTCTGGTGTGACTTAGGTGTTAGAAAAATATTTTCTTTACCGTGCCAACGTTTCGAGCTTTATTGAGATCATCTTCGGCCTGGGATTTACAAACATTGTTTAAATTTTACAAATGCATGTAGGATGTGAAAAAAATGAAATTATACAATGCTAGAATTTTAGATTCAATCAAAGTGAATTGACTCATCAGAGATATTGATGTTTTATGTTTATATACTTTGGATTTTGAAGGGGTGGGGAAGGAAGTCGGGATATGAAGACATTTTTATATGAGGAGTTGGCTTTTTTGAGGCGAAAGGAGCCGACATGGAAAAAATGGGTAATGGCTCCGCCTGGTTATCCTTTCAGGATTATATAGACGGGAATAATCAGGGAAAGGAAACCAAATTGTTGATAAATTAAACTACGTAGAAATGTTTGATGTGTGGAATGTGATTATTGTTTTATATTATTCGGAGGTCGTGAATTGTGGTCTGGTGTGACGTAGGTTTTAGAAAAACATTTTCTCTATCGTGCCAACGTTTCGAACTTTATTGAGATCATCTTCAGGGCTCAAAGTGTAGGGCACTCAAGAATGACACAATTACGCAGACAACAAACACTTTGAGCCCTGAAGATGATCTCAATAAAGATCGAAACGTTGGCACGACAATGAAGATGTTTTTCTAAAACTGTCACACCAGACTGCATCTGACGATCTCCGAATATTCATTAACTAACGGTCACTAAACAACACACATTGTTTTATATGTTATATGTTGGTGTTCAAAATGGTGGGTAGCCAGTGCTGTAGGATTTTGTTTGGTTTTTTTCGAGCCGTAGATAGGTTGCTTTACTCTTTTATCCATAAAAGAATAGTTGTACAAATTCATTTTTTCTTTTTTTCACATCATGTATTTGTAAAATTTAACTAATGTTGATAAATCCCAGGCCCTGAAGATGATCTCAATAAAGATCGAAACGTTGGCACGATAATGAAAATGTTTTTCTAAAACCGTCACACCAGACCGCATCTCACGATCTCCAAATAATCATTAACTAACGGTCACTGAACGTCACACATATCGTAGCAAAGTTTCGATGTTTTCTAAGGTAAAATATCTTAAGGGGCCAAGTATATTACACCCCGACTAATACATCTACATCTAAGGTAAAATATATATGCCGATGAGTTTCGTATTGATAGTTATAATAAAATTTGGTTGTTTTAGTGGTAAAACATCGTTGATTTTGTAGCAAACTTATATTGTAGTTTATTAGTTCATACAAACTGTGACTTATTTCATGTAAAATGTCGATACTTTATAAATCGACGTTAAAGTCAAAATGACCAGGCCTTAACTTATAAATCAACTGAAATTATGCCAACATGTATTAATAAATAATCAAGCTTTGTCGAAAAGGTTAGTTTAACATGACAAATCCATTTTGTGCTTTAAATAGGTTGAAAATTCTATGATATTACCTACTGGTACATTTTCAATGAGATGTAACATCATTACGATCGAGGTTTTACAATGCTGGAAGCATCTAAGAAAAATTTAATTAATTCAGTTGAAAACAAATTGTTACCTTGAATAAGTAACATATAAAGAAACTGAGTCGCGTCGTAAACGTGAAAAGGCATTCAATTGTTCAACATGCTTGGCATGCCGTTTCGTTCCATTACCTATTCTCGACAAACAGGTCTTTTGTCACTGGAAACAGACGTAAAGCCTTGGTAATTGTGTAGGGGATGGTATATAAAATCTGAGTGTTTCGGCGGTTTTGCGGAGGTGTAGGGTGGAAGGATCGGGTGGCGATTGTGCGTTTACAACCCCCTTACCGTCCTCAGCCCACTGGGGCAACTGATCTACATTCATCCGCCGCCACTCGAGCCGAGCCCAATTCCGAAATTTCAAACGCCTTTTGACATCCAATTCTCAATTACGAGGCCGTTTCGCAATATATAAAGTGTTTATGGCCTTTTCGACTGGATCGTCGGGATGCGGCCTGGCTCTGTCTCGCCTTGAAAACTCCATTTTCCAATGGGAAAAACACTCCCTCAGACCTCCCATAAAATATTTATAGGGCCTTTTTCATTTTTCGGCGAGTGTTCCGAGCAGATAGGTGAGAAAATAAGACGGAGCACTTGTTTATTGGAAAAGGCGACAGCGGGCTCGGAGAAGGCAAACTTTTCTGATTTTCACCCACCCCATCACGTACCATGGCATCGGCGATCGTCGGAAAACGTTCGTGAGGATGAAAGAATCGGTGGGCAAACAATCCAGAGCAAACATGAAGGGGCAACAAGTAGATTTTTTTTCCGCCCTTCAAGGAACTCGCGTGCTCACACCGACCATTTGACCCCCCCCCCCCCAAAGAACACATTATTTTTAAAAGGCCCTTCATAAAAATCGATAATTACAACACTTCTGCACACCAATCTCGCATGATTCGGTTTGAAGAAAACGTTCTCACGAAGAAATTATTAGTTAATTAGTATGCAACACCTTTGTATATTCGACGATTATTGCGCCATTAAGGATTTCATTTCAAACAGTATACTATTGTGTAGAGGTTTGAGAGTTCATAAAACATCGATTTTGTGTAGTTATTTCTAATATATCAATTTCGGGGCATACTGTCAAAATATCGATGTTTCGTATAAATTGTTCGATAAAATATCGTTCCTTAAACAAATCTATATTTCTATACATACTGATACCTTAAAAGATCGATTTTTATTTCCTGAAACATACTACAATAGTACCTGAATAATGAACATCGATAATTCACAAAGATCGATATTTGATAATCGTTAAAAAGTCGATCAGATAATATATCGATGCTTGTGGATATAATATGGG